ATAGGTAACAACATTAGGTGTTATATCTTTCCGAAATATCTCTTGGAAAATGTTAAGGGCCTTGTCAACTTTTTTAGCTTTGCAATATCCATTCAACATAGTATTAAAACTGACAAGATTAGGCTCCCAACCATTTTCAGCCATGAGATGAAGTAGGTTCTCTGCATCTTCCATCTGACCACGCAAACAGTATCCATCCAGTAACGCATTATAAGTAATGATGTTAGGAGTCGCACCTTTCTCAATCATGTGCTTTAGAATGGACTGTGCTTGATCAACACAGCCATCTTTACAAAACATGTCAACCAGCATGCTGTAGGTCTTAACATTTGGTGCTATGTTGCTGTCTAACATCTCGGTCAGCACACGCTGAGCCTCATCCCCAAAGCCGGAATTGTAGAGGCCTCGAATCAAAGAAGTATAAGTGACAACATTGGGTTTAATGCCCTCAATTTTCATAGAGGAGAACAGAGCTAAGGCCTGTTGTAACAACCTGTCCTTACAAAGACTATCGATAATAGTGCTGTATAAAACAATGTCAGGCTTAAAATGAGATCTAGATTGCATTTTGTTAAGAAAAGCGAGAGCAGACGCATTGTCGCCGATCCTACAAAGGCCTTTGACAATAGTACTATACATAATTAAGTCGGGTTGGAAACCAAGCTTGAGAATTTGATTCAACAAATGAGCAGCTTGGGGAAGCTTATCAGAGTGAATATTGCCATTAATTAAGGTGTTAAAAATGACAGAATCAAGGGGATGACCAAGCTTAATGATTTTACCAAGTAGAGAAAAGCCGAAATCAACTCTGCCCAGATGACAGTAGCAATTGGCAAGAATACCAATGGAATGCATATTGGGTTTAATACCAAACAATTCAAGCTGCCGGAAGAGAGAGATAATGGTGGAATGTGGATTAAAGCGCTTCAATTTAACAATAGCAGTAAATAACTGATTGAAATACATGACAGAAGGAAGAGGGCGCAAATTAATCATTTGATTATATAGAAAAAAGGGGGTTTTAAGATCGGAAAACCCTAATTTGGATTGTTGAGTAATTGAAGTTAGAAACAGTTGACGATGTTGGGAAGAAGAAAACAGTCGAAAATGGGAAAGAAAAGAAGGGGAAAGAGAAATACCGGCATTAAAGAAGAAAGCAGAAGCTTTAGAAGGAATCATCATCATCCTTGAACTTCTCGCAACCTTCGACCTCCTTCTTCAATTCCCCCCTTTGTTGAATGTGTATTTTTTTATAAGGAAGAAAATAGAGCAATTTCACTCAATAATGTTAAAACAAAAATAAATTCCCACTATACACTCATTTAAAAACAAATTCCCAAAATATCGTCCATGTAGGATTGGTATTTGGTTTGGATAAAACCGCTAGCAATATTGGCGGTTTTGGTATTTTTTTTTTTTAAAAAAAAAGCAAAGAGACCAGTTATTAATGAAATTAGGTCTCTTTGAACTTAACAGTAATAATGTGGGCGTTCTCTTTTCTGGTGTTGGCTAAGACATAGTTTCAGAAAAGAGACCTCCTTTTTTATTGTTAGGTCTCTTTGCCTCCTTACCTTTTTAAAAAAGTGAAAGAAGAAAAGAGACCTGTTTATTGAAATAAGCGGTCTCTTTTACTAATGATAGTAGCGGTTTTAAAGCTATAACCGCTATTGTCATTAGCGGTTTTAAGGTGAAAAAAATCACACCCAACGCCGATCCTACATGGATGGTATCTAGGGAATTAGTTTCCAAATCGATGCATAAAGGGAATTTATTTTTATTCTAGCATTATTGTGGAAAATTGCTCGAAGAAAATACAAGTGATCTCAGAAATGAACAAGATTTAATTTGTTATAGTAATACTCCCCCTTCTTTAAAAAAAATACTAATAATACTCCCCCATTTTATTTTATTTTTATTTTATTTTTTATTATTATTTTTTTAAAATTTTTTGAAGAGATAGTTATGGTCTGTTCTCTTCCGTTGAAATTCAGTTCAGTTCAGTTCAGTTCAGCTCTTAATTTATGTCTAATGATATTGCTAATGATATAAAGCCAAATTTCATTCTTTTAAGTTCTTATTACAACGACAATAATAATAATAATAATAATAATAATTATAATAATAATAATAATCAATAAATAATAATAATAATAATAACAATAATAATAATAATAATAATCAATAAATAATAATAATAATAATAATCAATAAATAATAATAATAATAATAATCAATAATTAATTATAATAATAATAATAATAATAATAATATTGATACAATTCATTGTTCAAATGGTTATATTTTTTTTAAAAAATTTGTTTAAATGAGTTAGATACATGTAAGTGTTTTGTGTTCTTTTGTCATAATACTATTTTATTTTTAAATTAAATAGTATATGTGTTTAAAATGTTTAGAGGTTTCAAGTTTTTAATATATTTTCCATAAATTTTATAATTATATAGTATATTTTTCGTAAATATTTTAATATGTAAATTTGTATATACACATATGTATAGAATAAATAATCAATAAATAATCAAAGTTACTAATCCGTAGTTAAAAATCACTAATTAATAAGTTCAGTTCAGTTCAGATCAATTCAGTTCAGTTCAGTTCAGTTCAGGTCAGTTCAGTTCAGCTCTGTTCAGTCAATCAGAACAGGCCCTTACTTCATTTCTTCGTGAAGAAATAGGAGAAAATAATAAAATATGAAGGTAATTAGTTGAAAGAATGAGAGTGGTCGAGTGGGGAATAACTCAAGTGGTTAGAGTTTTCCACCCGATTCTAGGAGATCCTGAAATTGATTCTTACCTCACCAATTTGTACCTCTCTAAACACTAAAAAAAAACAGGTTAGAGAATTGGAGAGAAGAGAATATAAAATTAATAAAACATGATTTATATTGGGTTCACTGGGTGAGAAAAATGAATTAAATATCGTAAAGGCTTTCCAAATAAGAAAATGGAGAAAGTATTTAAAAACGGAAGGAGTACTACAAGAGTACTCCGTATGACATTTGTCATTGAAACAGTATGTTTTTAGGCTGCTCTTTCATGATTATGCTTTTAGACTTCATAATACGTAAAGTTGCAAAAAATTAAGTAACAACCGTAGTTATCCCTTCGTGTTTTAATACGAAGTAAGTGTTACGCTTACTAAATTCGGCCGTGTTTCATTAAGTGTTAAACTTCTTTTTTTGGCAAAAAATTACATTAAAATATTATATATCTCTTCTTTCATGGTCTACACCCAAACTCATTGCTACTTTTTTTTTTTTATTATATCTTTCCTTTCACGGTATTTTTCAATAAACTATTAACCCCATTATCTTTCTTTTAAAATTTTTTAATACTCCAAGTACCCCAATTACATCTTATTTTATTTAAGTCAATTAAATTGCCTAAAACTACGTGTCAGTCCTGTAATACTTAAAAACACGGAGTCAATTATATCTTTCCGTACGTAAAAAGTAAGGAGTGTTGATCAAGGTCACGATTATGATAAACAAATAAAGAGGAATTTGTTGAAGAAGAGTACATGTTACTCCGTAATACTCCCTCCGCTCCTAATTTTTTGCCCCATTTGACTTTTCGCTATCTCCAACAACATTTTAAAACGGTTATATCTCCATTTTCATACGTGTAAAAATTATAAAAACTAAATATCAATAAAATGTACAATGATGCGCATCAAACAAGATCTCGCATGACTATATTATCACTTATAGATTAAGAGTATTTTATGGTCAAAGTTTATAAAAGTTGACCCAACATTTTGCAACGAGGCAAAAAAGCAAAAATTTAGGAACAGAAGGAATACTTACTAGATATGGAAGGACAAGATTTTAAGTCAGACCAATTTTTGATAGGTTTATTGCACAATAAATGGTAGATTAGTAAGGTTTCAAAAAAAAAAAAAAATGGTAGATTAGTAATGGTGAACATTACATTTGTATCCAATTTTTATTTTTTTAGTTGATTTGATAAATACATGTACCTTTATTTATTTATTATTTTTTTTTTTTTGGAATTTATGAAGTGGACAAAATCCATAGATAATGCATTGGGTAAGTGGTTAAAAGAGAGTTTCTAAAACACTATCCCTCTCCCCGCCAAACACTCAAACAGAGCAAATGAAGTAACATGTTGCTGCAAACTGTTAGTATTACTACCAAGAATTGACGAGCTGATCTAAGGTCAAAGTAAGAGCACCGATGACGGTTGTCGGATATCCCATCACCACCTCTCTCACTCGTGGCTCATTGCCTACTAAAGGTACCAGATGGAAATTCCAGGCTGCCAATTACTATATCATGAGGTGAATGTTTAGTTGTCAACTAGTCACCTTACGAGTTCAAATTATACTATCAACGTGACTATTAAACAGTTTGCGGTAATGTTTGGAAGTCAATGGAGACTAGATAATGTATTGAAAAAATCATTAGAATGCAAATAAAAGACGAAATATATAAAACTTGGTTAGTATTTGCACTATATTATACTCCATATGAATTTAACTAGATAAGATTAGCGTGGACAAATTTGATCATATCCTTAATTACCATTCAAGTTGGCCTAGTCTTTTGTACAGTCCAGTGATCTTTAATTTGATGTTAGTGTGAAATAGTATAGAATCATAATTAACATGTAATTAATTTTATGTCAATTGTGCAGTATATATATGGATCTAAGAAGGTATAACAACCGTAGTGCTTGGAAAGTAAAATGCTCCGATGTTGAGGTTCCTCAGAAGTTGAAGCATGAGGACACATATGTTGACAGACGAGACAAGTTCAGAAGGTTCAATCGAAAAAAGTTGTCTAGGAAACGATGTATGTACTTGTAAAGCATAGCAATGATTTGAGCACTAACACCCATTTTTTAACTATATGTGATGAGCTTTTATCTTAAGTTTGGTAATCTGTTATTCAAAATCAGGTGGAGGATTAAGAGGACGCGGATGGAAATTTGGTTCTGGATTTATTGATGGTGAGACTAGATAATGTATTGAAAAAATCATTAGAATGCAAATAAAAGACGAAATATATAAAACTTGGTTAGTATTTGCACTATATTATACTCCATATGAATTTAACTAGATAAAATTAGCGTGGACAAATTTGATCATATCCTTAATTACCATTCAAGTTGGCCTAGTCTTTTGTACAGTCCAGTGATCTTTAATTTGATGTTAGTGTGAAATAGTATAGAATCATAATTAACATGTAATTAATTTTAGGTTTATTTTTAAAAAACCACCCAAAAATGTGTTGAATTTCTAACTAACCACCAAAAAAAAAATTTATTTTAAAATACCACCCATTAAATTAATTTTTTGCTCAGATTCCCACCCAATTTGAAAATCCGGTGGTTTTTTAGCTTGTGGGGCCTACATAACGGCTAGTTTATGCTTTTATTTGTTTTCTTCCCCCGATTTTTCCTATAAAAGTGTATTCCTTTTTTATTTTTGCTCCTAAACAAAATATTTCCCCAAATTACACAAAATTAAGCTTGCTTCTAATTGCATTTGCATCTGCAGCAACGACATCACTTGAATTCGCACAAGGTAATCTTAATTATTTGGAAAAATTAGGGTTCTTGCAAAATGTTAATTGGGGGAATTTGTGGGATTCATTAATTAGGGTTTTTTCATATACACGATTTAATTGAGATATTTTGTCAATTATGGTATGTGGTAGTACTGAATTGTGGTTTTTCCTTTCAATTACAGTTAAGTTTGCTTTATTTGTAACCTTGTTCTTTGTGTTTGTTTGTTGTTGTAATTGTTGTGGTAGAAATGGAGGAGAATAAGATTGTTCTCAGATTTAAATATTTAAGTGTAACTATAGACATTGAATATGAAGTAGGCAGAAGTAACTTGTTGGATACAGCTATAGAATTTGATGATCAACTTCGTGAGATGGATGATCCATTAGAAGGATCAGTTGAACTGTTGCACCCTACATTCCAGTATGTGTATAAAGGGAAGTTTAGGAATTTAGAAGATGATGGGGATGTGTTCAAGATGATTAGGAGGTTACCTAATAAGGAGGTGTACACCATACATGTTGGGACCACAGATGATCCTGGGTTTTTGGCTGACTGTATGTTGGAGTACAGGATGAAACAGAATGGTACATGGCCCCCCCTGGTTACCCTCATTATGGAGCGCAACCACCACAGTGAGTATGTGTGACTGAGGATATGTTAATGTGGTTGAATCTTTGTTTAGTTGATGTAAATTGTTAAACTAACTGAGTACTGTTATGCTGTATTGCAGGGATGAAGATGTCATGGAATAACTCATCTCCCACAAACCAGAGGAAATGCAATTGTGGATTACCTTTAGCAAAATTGACTTCTTGGACAAATGAGAACCCTGGGAGGAAATTTTTGGCTTGCAAGTTATATGACCCTAATACTGAAACAAGGGGGTGCAAGGCTTTTGAATGGGTGGACAATGAAGATGGTACTGATTGGCAAAGAGTTGTCATTAACCAACTGCTCCTTGACAAAAAGTTGATGAAAGGTGAAATCAACTCTTTGAAAAGGGATGTGGATGACTTGACTGGCCAGAGAAGGTGTTTTCTTAATGAGGTTGACACCTTACAACTGAAATGCAAGGCCCTCACTGGTGATAGGAAGAAATTGATCAGAAGCAGTGGTTGTGACAACAAGCTCCAAGTTTATTTAGTTGTGTTGTGTTCTGTTTTGTTGGTTGTCCTAGGTTATCTTGTAATGAATAAAATGGTTTAAGTGGGAGGTGGTGTTAAAGCAAAAGTATTTGTAATGGTACTATTATGCTATCAATGAAAAAAACTTGTTTTAGTTTGTCTTATTGTTGTTGTTAGTTTAAAATACCACCAACTGAATAAATATGCAATGGGTTTAAACAACCAGCAACTGAATAACTATGCAAATGGTATAAAAAACCAGCAAAATGACCCATATATTTCAACTAATAATGCACTATGTCAGTGCTATTGTCAAATTCAAAACATAAGGGACTCAATTAACAATCCAACCACTTATGTCCAAAATACTAATACTTAAACTGTCTTGTAGCTCATATAAAAATACAGCCACATCAAATTACATTTGGCAAAATCAAATATATGGGTCAGCAGAAGGTACTTCCTAATTCTAAGAGGCTGCTCTGAGCTAACAGCCTACTTCCTAAGTCTAAGAGGCTTCATCTTGGTTCTGGGTGGTCTGGCTGAGGTAGTGGGAGATGTTGTTACTGATGCTTGAGTGAGCTGGCTCAGCTGATGGTGGTCAGTCTGCTGTTGTTGCTGACTCTGCTGATGCTGACTCTGAGGCTGCTCTTGATGCAGAGTCTGCTGACTTTGAGACTGCTGAGTAGTGTGCTGCTTCTTCTGCTGCTCTTCCTGAGGGAACCTCCTATTAGCAATACTGTTGGGTCCTGGTGTACCACCAAGGGCACTCTGCACAGCCAAATTAACAGTAATTAGGATGACACTTCTCAATAAACACATCTGACCCTAAATCACTGCTATGTAGGATATTTTGTACCTCTTTCAAAGCTCTTTCTGCTTTCTTCTTCCTCTGGTCATTCATCCATTCACTGTGCACAGCAGGTCTTCCTCCTTCTTTTTTTGGGGATGAGACAGCAACAGGAGCCACATGTGGGTTTTTGCATGTCTTAGCATAGTGTCCCAATTGCCCACAGTTCTTGCAAGTGCTCCTCCTTTTCAAATGTTGCTGCTCTTGCTGGTTACCACCAACCACTTCCCCTTTCTCCAACTTTCTCTTTTTTGACTTTGGCCTCCCAGGCTGAATTTTTACTGCTGGTGGCAGAGGTTGCCTCAGCTTCACCTTCTCCCAGTGATGTGGACCAGGCATAGCTGCCACTTCGTGCCTGTGTGCAAGCATATAAGTGGACACAAGATATGCATCATCCACATAATCTTCAGGGTCAGCCCTCTTGTCCATGATGCATGCATATGCATGCACACATGGGATGCCTGTTAGCTCCCAGTGGTAGCATGAGCATGTTTGTTTGCTGAGATCAACTGTCACTAGGTCTGAGTTCAACTCTACCTCATAAGTATCACCCCTTGAAATCTGCACAATGCAATGTCTAGCAGCAGGTTCTATCCTTTCAAATGTCTTCTTCACATAAGGAACAACCTTACCTTCCATTTCCTGATAACTCTCCCATTTCTCATGGTTCCTTCTCATCATGTACCTCCTAAGCCACTCCATCTGAGTCAAAATTGGCTTATCCCTTGCTTCTTTGATGACCGCATTAAAAGTCTCACATACATTGTTGAGCAACATGTTAGACTTTGGGAATGGACTAAATGCATGTCTGGACCAGTGTTGAGCTGGGATCTCAGCTAGATATTCATATGCTTCTTCAGACAAAAACTTAATTGATTCCATTGCCACTTCAAAGTCAAACTAAGCAAGAAACACCACACACATCCATCAAATACACATAGTCAGACAACATAAAAACACATAAAACAGACACATAGATATACAACACAGACACATAGATTTAATCAGTTAAACACCCATAACAATGTAGAAACATACCAAAGTCGTTGCCCTAGCTGCTGACCAGAACAACTCCTTGAAAGTTGCACCACTAAATTGTAGCTTGAAGTTTGCCCATATATGCCTCACACAATACCTTTTGTCTGCATAAGGCACCACCTGCTCCATAGCTTCTAGTAAACCCTATTCAAAAAAAAAAACCAAGGCCTTTAGAATAATGAATCTTTAGAATAACATAAAAATAAATGCAATGTTTAGGAGTATACCTTTTGCCTGTCAGACATAAAGGTAAAACCAAGGCCTTGATTTTCATCCTTCAAGGCTTTCATTAAACTCTCTAAGAACCACACCCAAGTGTGTGTGTTCTCAATCTCAACTGTTGCCCAGGCAATAGGATATATGTTATTATTGCCATCTTTACCAACTGCAACTAGTATTTGACCAGGATAAGGGCCTTTGAGATGGCACCCATCAACTCCAATCAGTGGTCTGCAGCCTGACAGGAAACCTCTTGCCATAGGTGCAAGGCAAATGAACATTCTCAGGAATTGAGGAGGCTCAGGCTGGTCAACTCCTTCTACTACAACATTGCACACAGTACCAGGGCTATACTTAATGATAGCCTTCCCATAGTCCCAAACTTTACCATACTGCTCTGCTGCTGATCCATATATCAGCAACTTAGCCCTAGCCCTAGCCATCCAAGCCTTGCTGTATGTAATTTCAATGCCAGTGTCACCTAGCACCCTCCTCCTGAAGCTCTTTATTTTCCAGCCTGGATCACTTCTCCAATCCTCAAGGTACTTCTCAGCTAAAAATTCAGCAGTTAGGTTTAAATTGCTCCTAACTCTGAAACACTTGTGCTTCAAATTCAGACTCTTAATCTTCCAACAGTCTTGGTTCACAGACCTCCTTGCAACTACCCTAAAGTGACATCTTCTCCCCCCTACACAAGTACACTTAGGTAGCTTACACTTCTTAGCATTCCACTTGCACTGACACCTCCTTCTGCACTGAATAGTTACTTTGGTACTGTCATTGTGCAAATACCAATACTCATACCTATTCTGAATAGCATGAACCCTTAACACTCTCCTCAGAATTTTGTTGTTCTGGAACTTCAGACCTTTGATCAATTCAATGGGTTTTTTGAAGTCAGTCTGTGGATGGAAAGTTGGGCAATTGTCTTGCTCCTCATCAGAACCTCTAGGGCTATCCAACTCCTCAGAGTCAGATGTAAACTCTCTCTGTACAGCAACCTCATTTCTCAACAGTTCACTCTCAAGGTTGTACTCAGGGAGCTGCAACTCTTTATCACTGTCATCTTGCACACATTGTATACTAGCATTCACTTCTGCTAATATCTTGCCCACACTGTCATATAGATCTTGAAACTCCCCCTCCTCAAAATCCCCCTCTTCTTCCCCAACTTCCCACTCTATGGTAGTATCAGAGTTTGATGAATCAGATCCAAAGTCTGATTCCAAGTCCACCTCACTCTTACACTTCTTCTTCCTTTTCCCTTTTGCTTTTCCCTTTCCCTTCTTCCCTGTTTGCCTAGAAGTACCTTCCTCTTCACCCAATTTGTTCTTCCCTTTCACACTGTCAGAGAACAGTTTCTTTTTGGTGGTGGTGTTCTCAGTATGCTCATCAACCCTGTCTACCCCTTTGCTGGTTTTTTTCTGCCTCCTCTTTGTCTTTAATTGCCAACTGCTGCTTAAACCTAGGGCTCCTCCTCACTTCACTGGGCTTAGGTTTGACTTTTGTTTTTTGGGTGGGTTGTACAATACTCACTTCAGGGCTAGTACAATAAACTATAACAACCTTATCCTTGTTTATTGTCTCTAGCAAGCCTTGGACATCACTGTCACTCACAATCTCCTTTTTCCCACTTGACCAAGTCCTCCCCTTTATCTTATACCAAACATTGAACAGCCTTGGCACATGCATATCTAACTTCACAAAGCCCCAAATGCAAGATTCCCTAACAAAGTTCACAGACATCTCACTAACTTTACACTTGTACCTCCAATATTCAAAGCCACCCTCATACCCACATAATGTCTTCCCCTTTATTTTTTTGTTCACAAACACCCCCCCTAGTCTAACCTTAACAGCTACATAATCAACATCAGCAACAACCTGTTCATTGTATAAAGCAAAATTATGCACTTTCAACACAATTCACATGCACAAAAAATGCAACTTTGTTACACATAGCAGTAGTAAACAATTCGCCTAATTCACTCTCCTAAGTACATCCCTAATTAAATAATTCAACAACAATTACAGTAATAGAATACATAACTCAATCAAATACACAAACAACCCTAACTTTCCACATAATTGCAAATATACCATCAACAACCAACAACCTTCAACATTAAACACAAACAACAAAATTGCTTACCTCTTTCGACGCCATTGCACTGAGCTATTGTCAGGTTCCTCACCTAAGCTCCTAGTCCCCAGTAAACAGCAAAAGATGGCGACTTTTTTGCAATTAAACAACCCCACTTCAAGCAATTACTCTAGATTAATTCCTGTTGCAAGTACAATTAGGGTTTTAATATCGAATTTAGGGTTCTGAATTGAACAATGCACAGCAATTTATGAAGAAAGGGGGAATTCGCTGAAAAAAGGAGTGAAATTTGATTGTTGAATAGGGTTAGTTGGGAGAATTGAATGAGAAACAGAGTGAAAGACAGTGAAGTCGAGAGAAAAGGGAAAACAAAAAAGGGAAATAACTAAACTGGGCCCCACAAGCTAAAAAACCACCGGATTTTCAAATTGGGTGGGAATCTGAGCAAAAAATTAATTTAATGGGTGGTATTTTAAAATAAAATTTTTTTTGGGTGGTTAGTTAGAAATTCAACACATTTTTGGGTGGTTTTTTGAAAATAAACCTTAATTTTATGTCAATTGTGCAGTATATATATGGATCTAAGAAGGTATAACAACCGTAGTGCTTGGAAAGTAAAATGCTCCGATGTTGAGGTTCCTCAGAAGTTGAAGCATGAGGACACATATGTTGACAGACGAGACAAGTTCAGAAGGTTCAATCGAAAAAAGTTGTCTAGGAAACGATGTATGTACTTGTAAAGCATAGCAATGATTTGAGCACTAACACCCATTTTTTAACTATATGTGATGAGCTTTTATCTTAAGTTTGGTAATCTGTTATTCAAAATCAGGTGGAGGATTAAGAGGACGCGGATGGAAATTTGGTTCTGGATTTATTGATGGTGTTTTCCCAGTGCTTAGCCCAATTGCTCTGAAAATTCTGGAACTTGTAGAACAGAATGAAGATATTGATAGAATTTGGACCGCGCTTGACACCCTTCCTCGAACACATACCACTTGGGATGATATTGTAAATGTAGCTGTACAACTACGCTTGAACAAAAAATGGGATGAAATTGTGGTGGTGAGGAAACTTTTTACCTCCATCAGTTCTTTTGTATAGTGTCATGTTAAATGTAGCTAGCTTCGGTTTAATCTTTTGACAGAGTGGTTCTTTGACATGGTATCGAAGCTAGGAAGATCCTTCTTTAGCCCTTGAATAGCTATTTTTATGATTAGTTTGACACTTTGGCTTTTTTGCAGCTGTGTCAATGGATATTTCACCGGAGTTCCTTCAAACCAGACATTCTGTGTTACAATTTGATGATTGATGCTTTTGGACAGAAATCACAACATAAGAAGGCAGAAGCTGTGTATTTAGAACTTCTAGAGGCTCGATGCATTCCAACTGAAGATACTTATGCACTTATGCTGAGGACTTACTGTGCTTCTAGGTTGTTTGCTAAAGCTGAAGCTATCTTCTCTGAGATGCGAAAATATGGCCTTTCCTCGAGTATGTTCTTATATACTGCCTGTTTTTTTTAAAACTGTATGCTGACAGAACATGAATGATTGATACTATATCCACTCTTGATGGTAAAAATTTGCCATAAAGCTCATGTTTTCTGCTATGTAGCATAGAAGAAAATAACCTTTTACTTTTCTCGATCCATCCTTAAAAAATAATGCATAGTTTACACTAGTAAATTTTCTAAGTAAAATTAGGGACAACATGCTTACACAAAATTTGTAATTTTTTCTTATTTGCTGTAATGAAGTTCTTGATTGGATTTCTTAGGTGCCGTTGTGTATAATGCTTATATTGAAGGATTGATAAAAGGAGGAAACAACACAAAAGCGATTGAGATATATGATAGGATGAAGCAATTTATACTGTAACTACTGAAACTTATACAATGCTAATCAATTTATATGGAAAGGTTAGTCAGAACTTAATACTCATAGGAACTATCTTTTATATTAGCCATCAGCATGCAGCCGCGTATTGTTTGGACCTTGATCAATATCATTAATTCATACTGTAAGCCAATTTTGTGCAGTGTTTCTGCAATCAGTTACAGAAAGTCTGAAACACCCATTCTGTTTCTTGGCATTGTTATTCGATCAAATGTATAGGTCGGACATAATCTGATCAGATCGAATTACAAATAAATGGCCATTATGTATGCAGGCAAATAAATCTTATATGGCCCTCAAGGTGTTCAATGAGATGAAAACTCGTAAAGGCAAGCCAAACATCTGTACTTACACTGCACTAATCAATGCATTTGCAAGGGATGGACAATGTGAGAAAGCGGAAGAGATATTTGAGTTGCTACAAGAGGCTGGCCTTGAGCCTGATGTTTATGCTTACAATGCACTGATGGAAGCTTACAAGTTAGTATCTATTTATATGCTTCCAAACTTTTTGGATTGTTTGTTACATCGTGTAAGGCGGTCTTTTGTTATGTCTTTAACTTGATGATACTAGTAGAGTCTAACTAATTTATCCCCTTTGTTTTCGATTTCTCATAGTCGTGCAGGGTATCCTTATGGCGCTGCAGAGATATTTTCATTGATGCAACACATGGGTTGTGAGCCAGATAGAGCCTCATATAACATCATGGTAGATGCCTATGGTAGAGCTGGTCTAGTTGAAGGTAACATA